CTTTACAAATTTAAAGCTCACATATGCCATCTGCTGACACATTTTGTGAATTACAAGAATAGCTAATTGGACATCAACCAACAGCTAATTGATCTATTAGTATAGGTTCAGACTTAGGTTTGTTTCTTTTTTTTTTAATTTTTTTTTCAACGTTTATTTATTTTTGGGACAGAGAGAGACAGAGCATGAACGGGGGAGGGGCAGAGAGAGAGGGAGACACAGAATCGGAAGCAGGCTCCAGGCTCTGAGCCATCAGCCCAGAGCCTGACGCGGGGCTCGAACTCACGGACCGCGAGATCGTGACCTGGCTGAAGTCGGACGCTTAACCGACTGCGCCACCCTGGCGCCCCTTAGGTTTGTTTCATTTCCAAAACCCATTAGGCAAATTTTAAACATGCATTTTCCCCCAAAGTACTGTAGTTTTTCAATTTATTTAACTACTAAAAACTTATTTCCCAAAACACATTTTTATTTCAAACAGTGTGTTTGTACTGAAGCTATTTTATTCTTCCTACTGACAAAGGAAATTGCAAATTGGTATCTCAGTAAACATAGTTCATATCTACAGTGAATTTTATCAGTAAAATATTTTAAGAGGATATTATCTTGAACTCTGTTGTAAGCTGAATCAAATGTTTATGTATATAAATTGTTTAAAGGGGTAAGTACATTGATGAGGAGCTGAAACTAATCATGCTAGTAACACCAAAGCAAAACAAACAAAATTCATTCATGAAGATGGGGCCAAGTTATTCTCCAGTTTATTCATACTGTTACATGAATTTTCCTCTTAGATCCAGGGCTCTGCCTCACTCTTCATCCAAAGAAGTCATAGCTCCTGTTCACAAAGTCAGCTTTACAGCCTTAATCAGGCTGCACCAGGCATATTATACCTGAAGTGTCGCTCATGGACTCCAACATGCCTATATTATTAAGCACTTACTATAGGCCAGTCACCATGTTCAGTATCACACTGTCATTATCTCATTTACTCCTTGCAGCTTCTCCCTATCATTATACTCCTACACTGCAGACTGGGAAGTTGAAGTTTAAAAAGAGTAGACAGAGGCGCCTGGGTGGCGCAGTCGGTTAAGCGTCCGACTTCAGCCAGGTCACGATCTCGCGGTCCGTGAGTTCGAGCCCCGCGTCGGGCTCTGGGCTGATGGCTCAGAGCCTGGAGCCTGTTTCCGATTCTGTGTCTCCCTCTCCCTCTGCCCCTCCCCCGTTCATGCTCTGTCTCTGTCCCAAAAATAAATAAACGTTGAAAAAAAAATAAAAAAAAATAAATAAAAAGAGTAGACATGTTGTCCAGGGTGAATGAGGCAGGACTGAGACCCAAACCAGCGGACTCTTGCACCCGGTTCCTACCCTTCCTACCCGGTGTGCCACATTGTTTGAATTACTGTCTGCAAGATGGCTAGCACTCACACTTTGGCCCAAAGTGGTGCTTCTTTGACATCTTGCCAAGCCTGTTAAAAAGGTATTATTTACCAGTTTGATCTGATTCCCACTTTACCGTTTGTTTTTAGGCAGAGGCCAACTAAAATCAGCCACCATTTTCTTGACTCTTAAGATTTCTTCCTTTATCATCTTTGGCCCTGTGTATAGGAAAAGTGAGGATTTTTAGGGATTCAAAGTGTGAGTTTTGCCTGGAATGAGTCATGCCTGGGTTAGCTTCCTTGATTAGCAGCTGTGTATCCTTGGAAAACTCATTCATTTGCTCACTCAAGAAATATGTGCTAGGCAGTAGGCCTTCAGCTTTTAACAATACAGACAGGATTGCAATCTTCATGGGGCCAACATTTTAAAATCTTCCGTAGATTGTAGTCTCCTCATCTGTAAAAATAGTTAATAATGGTAATAAGTGCATAAAGATCCTGTGTTGGTGATTAGTTTAAGGCACTTACCACAGTGCCCGGCAGTTTTATCATAAAGTTTAGCTGTGGTGATGATGATCGTGGTGATGTTGATGAAATCATCATTCATGCTAATGATTTCATAAAATTAATGCATAAGGGAGATGAAACTCTTCTTGTCAGGACTGTTATTACTGTATGACAAGCAGGGGCACTTTTAGGGACTTCCCGTGCACACCTGGTATATGATAGAAGTAGCCCTGGATCCTTTCTTAGGCAAAGGACAAAGTACTCGAGATCATAAGTATTTCATGCATTGTGCAAGAGGCCATGTTTTCTCTGGTGCACTCCTTCACTCTCTCTTGCTCCAAAAAGTACACAGCTGCCAGGCAAACAAGGCTACTCTAGCCCGTTGGAGGATGAGACACATGGACCACCCACCGCTGACTACAGACGCTTGAGTGAGTCCAGCTGAGCCCAGCCCAAATTTGTACTCACAGAATGTTGAACTGAATTAGTGATTGTTATTAAAGCCACCCAATTTGAGGATGGTTTGTTATGCAGCAAAAGCCAACTGATGCAAAGGCATTTTTATCTGAATTGCCCTTTATATGAAACTACCTTATGTAAACCTTTACACATAGTTCAAACTTACTAATTCCATTTCTTCAGTAAAGTCTACTCTAACAATTTCAGATTTTTATTAAAAAAAAAAAAGAACTTGCCCAATGCCACACATCTAGTAAACGGCAGAGCCAGGACTCAGACTCAGTGTAACTTTATCACCCAAGGCTCCTTGCGTTGCACTATATTAAACTGTTTAAAAATTGAGTATATCTTGTAACAACCAAAATCGTCAACAATGGGAACCTTCTTGATTTTCTACTTTTTAAAGATATAAAACAATGCATACTCATTACAATAATATGTGAAAATAAACACAATTTTAAAAAGCAATTCACCCTCCAGATAACTAACACAGAATTTATACATCCAGATTCTTTTCTAATCATATAAATGTGCATATTTTCTATAAAAATCAGAGCATATGCCACAAATTACATTGTAATTTATTTCAGCAAACTACCAACTATTGCACATTTATATTGCTCCAGGGATTCACTGATTTAGAGGAATAGAAACTAACATAATATAGAGTGTGTGCATGTGTTAGAGAAGAAGAGGTCAATGGTAAAAAAGATAGTTGCAGGGACATTTTTCTCTTTTTCTTTGGGGTCAGTGGACATAGAGTCAAAGTCACATCTAACCTTCTCTCTTCTCCTTATAGAAAAGGGGTTTTCTTAGCACATGTTTGATGACTTTGACTTGACAGGGCTTTTCATGAAACAGGGAACACCAATGCCTGACTTCCCATGTCACTTTGATCAAATTTTAGACCAAAGACAAAGGTACAGTCTATCTATAGGCCCTTGATCAAACGAAGTTTGTGGATTTGTGTGAGATGGGAAATAGGTGGGGGGAATCTCATTGTACTTGTTTCCTTCCTCCCTGCATGGTAGGTGAAACAGGTGGATTTGCTAAAGTAACTCCATAATGGTGAACATTTTTGCGTAGGCTAGATCACCTTCTCCCTCTTTCAAATCATGCAGATTGTGGATAGCAACCAACAATCAAGATAGGACTTAAAAAAAAAAAACTAAAAAGTAGAAAACAGTTTTTTTTTTAATTTTTTAAAATATTTATTTATTTTTGAGAGAGACAGAGACAGAATGCGAGTGGGTTGGGGCAGAGAGAGAGGGAGACTCAGAATCAGAAGAAGGCTCCAGCTCTGAGCTGTCAGCACAGAGCCAATGCGGGGCTCGAACCCATGAGCCGCGAGATCATGGCCTGAGCGAAGTCGGATGCTCAATGGACTGAGCCACCCAGGCGCCCCTAGAAAACAATTTTCAAAATCAAACAAGCAAATGTCTTACGAGCATGCAAAGGGTTATAAAACTACCCCATATTTATTTCCTACGCTTTGGCTATTTTGAGTCATAGGGGAGTTGCAGTGGTGAAGAAGACAGTTATCATGGTTCGTGCCTTAGTGAGCTTGGAGTCTTTGAAGGAAGGCCAACAGGCAACTGACATAAAATTAACATAAAAACAAGTGCTTGAAGGTAGTAATTTACAAAGATGGGGGACCTAACTAATCCTTATGTGGGGGGCAGGGAGAGGTAGGGTGGTAGTAAACTGCAGAGGAACAGAATGTAGAATCTAAGCTAGAGTTTTCCCATATGAGAGAAACTACTGTATTCCCACCAGGTAGCAGAAACCGAGAAAAAGAGAGGGAGCAAGCTAAAAGTGAATGAATATGGGTGGTGACTAGCAGATAATGTAAAATGGGAAGTGTGATAAATCTAACTCCTGGGCTGACAGCAGATCCTAATATGGTCTTGTAAGTAACTTAAGAGCCATATTAAGGAATCTGTATTATCCTTAGAAAAATGGGGCATGCATGGGGACAAGTCATGGTTACATTTTCGTTTCGGAGAAGGTGCTCTGAGTGTCCTCTTGACCATCCACAGGCACTTCTGTAGTTTTGGAAGCGAGAGCGGAGAGAAGTATCCCAATAGACTGATGTTTCCACTTTGGACCCCACAAGCCTTGGGGCTGATTTGATATTTGAGGGTACAAGAGAGGCTCCAAGGTTGACAGCTGGACTGAGCCATTTGGGAAATGGTGGTAAGATTTCCTGAGTTCGTTATTACAGAATGAAGAGAGAAGCGGGATGAGAGAGATGATGGTTTTATTTTCAGATGTATTGTATTTGAGGCATCTGGGCTGCTTTTTAGGATTGAATTTCCTGCAGAAAATACACTCCCTAAATATATTAAAATTTATTACTGTACTGACCACGCTTGTAAAATTTACCAAACCACGTTATTACGGGAAATTATCAAAGCGTGAATCCCTGTTACACCTACATACTAACTCTACCGAGGACGTTCGCGAAAACGTAGGTTTGCCAGCCCTGCCTTGGAGCACGTTCCAATTCGCTCAGGCTCCTAGCTACCCAGTCGAAAGAGCGGTTGCCCTCTGCTGGTCAGAAGTGCGTAATGCATCTGAAGGAGAGAAATTTCCTAGGGGCGTGCCAGCTGGCGGATGACGGAGAAACCCAGCGTCCGGAGATAGGCGGTTTTGCCTGCGTCAGCGGCGCGCGCCGCGGGAAACCTGTCAGGCCGCATGGCTGCGGGTTGTTCAGAGGCTCCGCCGCCGAAGGCGGCCTCTGAGGGACCAGTGGCGGGACCGGCCGGCGTCCTGCCCTGCCTAGAGCTGCCAACCTACGCTGCCGCGTGTGCGCTGGTGAATAGCCGCTACTCCTGCCTGGTGGCGGGGCCGCACCGAAGACACATCGCGCTTTCGCCGCGCTACCTTAACAGGAAACGCACCGGTATCCGAGAACAGCTCGATGCGGAACTCCTGCGCTACTCCGAGAGGTATCAGTCTCTCCGTCTTTTCCTCCGCGGAGCGGATAACGCCATAATGTAGCTTGCCCCCCTTTCTTTTAGGCTCGGGGAGGGGGGGGTTGCTGGTGGACGTGCTGATGGCGTCGCAGAAAAGGGGTGAATGGGAGAGAACGCGCCGGCCACTCGAGCTTATACTCGAGACGTTATGGAGTTTCCAACTAGCCGAAATTTCCAGTGTGTCCCTAGTCGGGATCTGTTCTTACCGTTTCATGGACAAGAAGGGAAGCGTGAAGGTGACGTGAATTGTGCGGGCGGAGCCGGTGGGGAAGCTTGTTTTAGAACTGGCGTGTATGGGTAAGAATAGATCAGGGTCTGGAGACCCGGTAAGCCAGTTCTGTGTTTTCCCATTTGGCAGTGGGAGTTTCGAATGCATTACTTCAACATACGGTCTCTCATTCTGTAGAAAATTATACATATTAGTACAGGCTTTTGTTTGTAAACCGTGACGAAGTTTCTGGTTTTTATTTTGGCCCTGGTGTTTTCCTTGGGTTCTCTTCTCGTGGACCTGATCACGGATGAGAGAAGCAATATTTCTGTTTTGTTTTTGAGAGCAGTTTATTAAGTCTTAATTGGAGTGAAAAAAAAACTTTGTGGTGCAGTTAAGTTAATATATTAAATAGAAACTTGGAGACTCTTGGAGTTGCGAGAGTGGAGGGTCAGAGGGAGGGGGCATATGTACGTTAAAACTACTAAAGACTACTTTGTCTCGAAAGTAAGGGTTCTAAAACTAGGGTGAGTGGAATCCCTAGGGATTCCTTGTTGCTCTTAAGGAATTTCATGACCCTCCCTCCTCCCCTCTGGGAAATTTCCTTTCAGTTTTCTTGGGCAAAGTACCCAAAGTGTTCACTTTCTCAAGGGATCCTGGACAGGTTAAGGAATCAAGCAGGTCTAGAATGTACAGCTTACTCCAAACACCTACACCCACTTTTGTGCCTATTTTGTACATAAGGGATTTGGGATTAAAAAAACAAAAACAAAAAAACCAAGATCCCTGTTTGAAGAAACTGTAATCTCTAGTAAAGATACAAATGTAAGCCAGGTAAATCCAATGAAGTGTTAAAATTTGCCAGAAACAAAGTAAGTTATACTGAAAGAGTAGTGAATTTGATATTAGGACCTTTTTTGAGAACAACTTAATAGGAGAAAGGTTCTTTGTGATGGTAGTATTCAAGGGAAAAGGTGTGGCATAAACAAATGGATAGTGGATATAAAATAGACTGGTTCGGTCAGAGAATTGTAAGTACTATATAATTGGAGTAAGGTTTATTTTAGGGGAAGGACATTGTGTGCAGTTGGAGAGAGGAGGGCAAAGACAGCTTGGGGGACAACTCAGGACGACCATTTTGCTTTTTCCCTCCTGTCTACTAGGTTTTTGTTTTTTAACCTTTTTCTGTTTGCTTAAGCAGACTTAGCACTTCATCCTTTCAGTGTGCCCTCCAACTCCGAAACTTGGTGCAGTCTGGAGAGAGTAGTATGAATCTGTGATCTCCGGGACATAATCAGACACACAGTTCAAGAAACCACACTTGGTAGCATTAGCTGATGGCTTAAGGAAGGTGAGACTGTAGACATGGAGACCAACTAAGAGACTGTTACAGTTGTCCAAGAGAAAAATGATAAGAGAGTATGGGTTTGAGAGACTTAAGGATATAAATATGGTCATAAAATCTGGGAAGCGGCAACTGTTTGATGTATTTTACCACTTATTGTAACCAATCAGTGCCTCCACTTGACAGGCTAGGGGGAAGCCACCTGAAGTGTCTCCCGTCAGAGCCCTTATACCAGAGATACAAGGAACCAGTTGAACGATAATTTTTGTAACCAAACGATACAGTGTGACTATGTGGAGCAGGTTGCACTCTGAGCAGATCAAGACTGCGCACTCTACACCCTCCTCCCCCACCCCCACCCCCACCATTACTTGTGGGCTGTGGTTAAGACTCTGGCTTACTCAGTGCTGATAAAGCAGCACACATTAACTGTGTATTTCTAAGTAGGGACAGAACATGGAACATACCAACAATTGTAATGTCAGTCAACCACTTATGTATAGTTAGATTTACAGATTTCGGGGCCATCCTATAGAATCAGGAGGACTTGCTTCTCTTTTTGTAAAAAACAAGGAAAAGAGAGTGTTGGAAGGTGGAGGATGCACAATAAAGTATCCCCTAAACTAAGAAGGCACTTTGAGATTAGAAAACGAAGCAGGTGACTCCATACAGTTTACACAGAGTTTTATTCAGGGTAACTTACTGACCCGGGGGATTGGGCAGGTGATGATCCAAGTAGCTGCACAGCTGTTCTTCACAAAGTCTAGACCTCAGTCCACAGATTTTATAGAGTGTGAAGGGATGTGCAGAGGGCACTGTGGTGAGGTCACAGGGTTTAACACTTAACAGACCCTGTGGCACCACATGTACTCCAAATGATGGGGGAGGAAAGTACATTACTTCTACTAGTTATCTAAACAACTTTAGGGAAGATCTTCCCTAATTCTGGTCAGGGCATACCTAAACCTCCAGGGGGCCCGGGATATGTAGCCCTGAGGGAGGTGATGGCCTGGACGTGAACAGGATGGAGGGTCCAACATGGAGTCAGTATTGTCAGCATTGGTATGCTTTACCCGCAACATGTTTATGGCCTGTGCAGTCTTTTTTTTTTTTTTTTTTAATTTTTTTTTTTCAACGTTTATTTATTTTTGGGACAGAGAGAGACAGAGCATGAACGGGGGAGGGGCAGAGAGAGAGGCAGACACAGAATCGGAAACAGGCTCCAGGCTCTGAGCCATCAGCCCAGAGCCCGACGCAGGGCTCGAACTCACGGACCGCGAGATCGTGACCTGGCTGAAGTCGGACGCTTAACCGACTGCGCCACCCAGGCGCCCCTGGCCCGTGCAGTCTTTACGTGACATTCTTCCATGATGGCCCAAGAGCAAGATGTTGAGAGTTAGTTGGCTTGCATACCTATGTCACAGCAGTAATATAAATGGCCACATGAGGTTAATATACCTATAAAAGAAAACATTTAGTGGTTCCCCAGTGACTTGGTAAAGAGGTGAGTCATCAAGTGAAGGTATCAGCAGAAGAGATCCTCTCCAAAGACCCAGCCTCGAAGTGATTGTGAATTTGACCTTAAGTTATGGCTCACAAGAGGGAGATGCTTCCTGAGGCAACAGGGACAGAGGGACATCAGCAGTGCCAGGCTGGGGCAGTAGGACAGATGTTTCAAAGTGAGTAGACATGGCAAATCTTCATTTAGCAACAACACAGTAGCTGTTTGGTCTCCATAGCAACCTGACTTTTCATCATTCCTCACTCTTGAGTGACAGGGACGACTCCAGCTACTTCCTGCTGAAAAGGGGCATAGATCAGGATTCAAGGGGTGAAACTGTCTTTCATCCAGTTATAGGTAGCCCCTGGTATTACATTGAGCCCTTTATCCTTCATAGAGCCATTTTTTTTGGAACTTTAATGTGTAGTCTTCGCTTCTTATTACACATTTCATAATGAAGTAAATCAGGTCAGTTCACTTAAACAGTTGTCTCATGGCTTTCAGTCAGGCCTATAGTGTGTAAGTAGTCAGGCAGAAAATTATCCAAATAATCAAGGAAATCATTAGAAGTCAGGATCCAGCTAGTATGGTAAACAAGAAACATGCAAGGACAATTACAACTAGAATCTTACACCCATAGAGGTATGTTACTGAAACATAGTTTTTTCTCTCCAAAATCACCCTCGTTTCCATCAACAATAGCCAAAATAAGACTAATATGTTTGTAAAACAAGTCTATTTTTCACAAATTTGGCCCAAATATTTTTGTAAGTACAGCAAGAATAGTAACTGGCCTTACATGTTCTCTCAGATCTGCTTTGCTGGAACTTTTTTTTTCATAAGGAATTTCAGATCGAGCTTTTGAAAGCCTTTCAAGGCAAAGAGCCAAACCAAATACTTGCCATCAGACTCGCTTGTAATAACTAAAGAAATGAAATACTCCCTCGCTTTTCGGGGTCCCCCAAATATCCTGAGGTTCCTGAGCCTGCCAGGAAGTGACCTTCCTTACTTAACCTCGTAAGGCTCCAGGAACCTTGTAAGCATGGTACCAGCCAGGCCAGTTATTCTAGGGGGCTTTCTTGGCACCATAATGTCAACCCTAGTTCCTTAGCTTTCTGGTCATATCTGAGTCTGCATGTCTTTCTCAAATGTGACATTCTAGTCAAAGCCATGGTAATAGAATCAGTTTCTCTAATGGTGACCTGTTACAAGAAATTCTTACTGAATTTATGCAAATAACTTAAGTGCCATGAGGGTAAGAATACTCACCAAGAGTTTGTGAATTCAGGAGGGATAAGGTAAGGGGGAAAAGATAAAATGTTTTTTAAAATCCCGAAGAGCAAACATTAGATAATCAGTGATGTTTCAAACGAGTCATAAAAACTGTAATAATCTTCCTTGATTCCTTTAGTCATGGTATTCTTGTTCAGTTTGAGTATGGTTTTCCCGTTCCCAGAAATTCTTATTTGGCTTAGTTTTATTATCTTAAGGGTATCACAAACCTGTGTTTGTCGAGAGTCCTCTCTATGAATGTCCTTGAAGATGAAACACATTTGTAGGAGTACAAATCAGAACAGTAACTGTAAATAACAAAGGACTCAAAAATGAACATGGTTAAAGATGTGATGAGAGTTCATTATAGTGTAATGAACATTATAGTTGATAAGGAAATTTGATTACTTCTGGGATAGACAATACTTCAATACTTAGAATTACAAGTAATGATTATTGGGATTTTGGGATTTCATGGCATTCACTTATGCAGCAGAACCTTAAAAGGTTTCTGACAATGCTTCCCATGTAGTTTAACATACCATAATAAAGAAGCCTGATTAGTTAAAAAGACTTAATTTAGAATTTGAATTTTGGGAAATTTGTTAAAAATATCAAAGTTTTAAAGCACATGCTGAATGGTGCGC